AGACCTTCCTCGCCCGCTATGTGGAGCATGGAACGTGAGCAGGGGAAGGGTAGCTCCCTGCAGCGTCGTCTTCAGAAGCAGACATTGTGGCGTGGCATGCAAGACTTGGGTGGTAGCCTTGTCAAAGGCGATGTGACCTGACTTCTGCCTTTCTCGAGCCAGCCAGATCTCAACCCCTCCAACGCCATCTTGAGCAGCAGCCGCATACCGGTAATGCGTGGCTGAGATCACAAGCTGATCTTGTCTGGACCTTGTTTCTTGCAAAAAAAGAATATCCAGGCCGTGCGCCACAGCCTGTTCTCTTAAGTATTGCGCAAACAAGTTCCCAGCTCTGGGCCCCAATGTCATGACATTATAGGTAGCAGCATAGATATTGAGCTTTTTCCACCAACTCTCACGGACAGGTAGTTTGACAAGGCTCTCTGGAAGACGGTCAATAGCCTCTCCTCCAATGTGGACACCGGGAAGACAAAGCTTTGTCTCCCTGATCAGGTTGATCCCATTCTCAAGTCGCCGGAAATACAGCCAGAAACTCTCAATCGGAAATCGGTGTCCAAACACATAGGGGGCATAATCTGGTCTATATTGCTCTCTGAGTTCTTGCTGAGTGTCGAAAGCGTGCTTTGCAAAAATGTCAGCAAGCTCATTCCCCAGAAACCCCGCATGCCCTTTAACATGTTCCCAGTAAAGACTCGACTCCTTTACCGCAAATTCCTCATAAGCTTGGACAAGTGCCCGGAGAAGCCGTAGTTGCCGGTCAGACGGGTGGATATGGTAGTTTCCACTACCCGAAAAACCAGCCAGCTGCGAATCAAAGCGCAATCGGCAATTACACTTCTGTGGGTGTGCAAACAGCCATTCGATAGCTCTGATCAGAGCTGCACCTTCAGCTGATTTGGCATTGGAGAAGTCGGCCCCCGTCCACGTTGGGTCCATGGGATCGGTCTGAACTAATCCCCAGTCATAGTCCATGATGTGCCTCTGAGATGCACAATATCCCAAGACTAGCAAGGACCACCCAGCCATCTTGTCATCATAGCCTGTCGAGAAGGACCCATCAGTGAATATCTCAATGGATTCCACAAATGATGGAGGTTCCAAAAGCAGGCCAGCAGCTTCTGCCTGTAGATTGGTCGAAAGCTGGTTCACAAACGGAGTCCATCGAATGTCTGCATTCATCCATGGCCTACTAAGGCTTTGGTGCAGCGGTGCAAAGTCAGGCATCTGAATATCACATCCAATGATCTTGTCAGCCAGCGTCAGCACGTCCTTCTGTGATGAGCTACAAGGCAAGACAAGGTCAGCCAGGCGCAATGAAACAACCGGGAAGTCAAAGATGCAAATCTCGGTTTCGTTAATGTTCCAATCATCCAACTTTTGGAAGTCATTACTGATCCAGTTGATTCGCAGCTCCTCAGTCCGTTCAGGATTACCTGGTGGAGGCAAGCCAGAAAAAGGATCTCTGCAAGGTGTATCGTCAGTACAGCTCATCCACTTTTTGACAATCGGAAAATCGAATATATGGAGTTGAGTCTCAAGGTCAATCCAATCATCAATTCTCTGAAAGTCAAAATTGCGCCAAATAACTGTGTGGGCAGTATGTTGACTTGGATTTCCTGGTGGCTGCAGACCACATATCGGTCCCCTGCAGTAATCCGCATCAACAACACGAACCCGCTGGGCAATCACGCTACGTTGGAGTAGCTGTGTCGACGAAAGGACACAGGCAGCCTCATCAGGCAGCAAGAACTCGAACTGACAGGGCGTGCCCGTTGGCATGGTGATCATCTGTCCGCTGACGTAGGTACTAGGTCCTCTTGGCGCTGTACATCGCAGGAGACAGATCTTGGTCGGACAGTCTTCTGCAAGGCCCAGGAAGCTCTCAAGGAAATCATAGCTACATGATTCAGGACATGGCACCACTACATATGAATCCACAGCTCCAGGCGGCCACGTCAGAAGGAAGAAGCGAAAACCACTGTGGAAAAGATCATCAGACATGGCTAGCATATGCTTAAGCCTTCCAGGAGGTTGGGAGGCAACAAGCACAAGTCGCACCGGCAGAGAGAGCTCCATCAGCCGCCGCCTTGACAAATTGCTCATCCCATCTGCCCTCTCTCAACAGGACCAGTCGGTTCTGGCTCGTTATAGTCTCCATAGATACAATGCCCCAACAAAGGAAATCAAAAGCAGCAAGCATCTCCAGGCTCCCAGGCATAATCATCCTTACACCAATCCTAACCTGGTCTTTGGAAACTGTGGGAACCAGAAAGGACCCATGCCACGTATGTACAGACCTCAGTGGAATCATGGGGTCCAGATCCGAAGCTCGTGGGACCCTGGTTATCGAAGTTTGCATCAGTGCTGAAAGTTCACCCAGAGATTCCGTGGTCACCGCGCCCTCAGTTACTTGGTGAGCAGACATAGAGTCAGTCCTGCCAAACTTCAGGATCGTACCATCAGTAGCGTTGAGTTGAGTTTGCAGGAGAGAATCAGCTTCAAGTTCACAAGACTCGGAACCAAGGATATCCACCCTGATATCGATCTTCATGCCAGGGAAAGGTCGCCATGACACCAGCTTGGGCAATTCCTGTCCATAATGGGTAATAAAACAGTCGTACATATGGTGCGAACATACCTCTTCCAAACCGTAAGTCTGCAGCAACATCGAGCTCAATACCGTCGAAGGCAGACGCTGTGCATATAGTTCCGGTGGCCGTTCAACTTCTCGTATCCAAAGACTGACAAAAACCGGAATGGCACCCTCCTCAGGTTCTTCATCAATGAGCAGAAAGAGATCGTCCTCCCCTTGTTGTTCATAGACATCAGGAAGCGGTTTCACCGGAACAAGTTGTGCCCGCACTGACAAGGGAATCACACCCTTGATGTAGTCTCGAATGATAGTAGCAAAATCATGACGTTCTAGAACAAAGAACTCGTCAACTGCCAGTCCCCAGTGTGACACTTTGTCATTCTTAGTCGAGTAGAGGACAAACCCAGGCCAGCGATCCAAAGCCGCCCAGAAGGCAATCGTTTCGGTAGAAAAGGAATCATAATTGTGGAAATGTGTAGTTCGTCTTGTCTGATCAACTTTGCGCCTCCAAGCCAAAAAACGATTCCGCTCTTGGTCCAGAGGCTCAGCCCAGTCAAAGAAGCCCGCAGGTCTGCGAATCCATTCCCGGGACCGTGAGGTCACGGTGGTTTGAAAGAATACGTTCGCATCATCTTCTGCAGGCTCAATCAGTCGCGGGTCCCTCGACCGGCTACCATCAGACTCTCCAACAGGTCTTCTGGAGGAGGAGATAGAAGTACTGAGACTATTGCTGAAACTGCTGAGGGATGGGACCTGTGGGTCAACTGCTGAATCAGTGGTCGCTTCTCCTCCGAAAGCAGAGTGCCTACGATAATGCTGAGCCACTGACCAGGTTCCCACGGTACCAGGTCTCCTGGTTCTGCTTCTTCTCCAGACAACATCACATGATAGTGAAGGCTTTCCGGGACAATACGGGGGAGTGTGGTCCTCCAGACAAAGCTGTTGATCGTCATAGCCTGAGTGGCCACATGGATCTCTCTCCAGGTTTCTTGCTCGAAGCGGATCTCGAGAAGCACAGGTAGCTCTCTACCGTATGCTCTTGGTAGAAGGACTGCAATCCGGAGGTCGACAAAAGGCGCCGCCTGCAACGGGAAGATTCTTGCTGGCCCTTGCCAGAGAGCCCGTAGCTCCCTGCGTAACCACAAAACAAAACCTTCACGAGCATGAAGTCCCTCTCTGGTAAAAGCAACCTGGTGCGTGATAACATCAGTCCCAGTTCCCTCAAATACAAAAAGATTGATGGAGTCTCTCTCAAAGAGGAGGTCGATAAGCCACAACCGCAGTTCTTCAATCTGCTGGTATTGACTTGCAAAATGTGGAGCTAGTTCAACTGGTCCTCCAGACGCATATCCATCACAAAGACTTTCTGTATCATTCCGCCTTGTAGACAGAGTGGAGGGTCCTTCAGACTGGTCGGCCCCTTCTTGCATGGGTCGCTGCATCAGATTCAGCGCCTCATCATCAACATACTCATCTGCATCTTCGAGGGACGTTCCCACAGACATATAGTCTGCTTCAGCATCCAGGGTGTATCGGCTGCTCCATTGATCAGACTGAAAACTCAAGTCCGATATAGAATCAGCCTCACAAGTAGAATCGCTATGATCTTCTGGCCTCTCTTCTTCAAATAACTGTATGTAAGCCCCCGGGTGCAGCTGTACATCATGATGGAACAGGTAACCAAAACACTACAGAACAAATATAACCGGTGGATTACTCTTTATTCCCGGGGGCGGGACTCCATATAGTAGAGTTCAACAGGATTTGCAAAGTAGTTCTTCCGCCACAAGATTTACGGAACTACTTTCTAAGTGGTAGACAACGAAGCGCCTTTGAAACCAACATTTGTTGACAAAACTTTTTGACATAGCAGGCAAAGACTGTGCCTCATTGAACATATTTGTTTCAAAATGCAACGGAGTCATTGAGGCTCGGAAATATGGTAGTATTGTTCTTAACGTGATCAACCTTTAATCGAAATTTGTTGCCAAATATTGCATCCTCGTCTTTTCTAAACGAAATCATTACTTCACCAACTGCGTGGTCACCTGGTCTAAGCGGACAGTTGATTACTTTTTATGGAGTAATAACACACACATATATATATATAACATCTTTTCTTTCCACCGGAACTGACCCATTTCTCAATCCTCCGTTCACATGCTGAAAACCATCGTACTTCACTTTGAATGAAGCAGACCTTTCAAGACATTGATACCTTTGAAAGGTTCTGTATTTCAATTATATAAGGCAAAACAATATGAAAGCAACCTGTCTGGTTGGTGAATTGGCGTGGTAATAACATATTTTCCGGAGTAGAGCCTCCTGAAACATGAACATGAAAAAGCCTTGTTTGGCTCATTGGATAAATCTATGTTTACCAGACCCCAAAGCGTTGCCAAGACTCTGGGGGAAGGCCACTGTTGCTGGCAGAGCCCACGCCTGCTCAGCTTTTGGCTTCACGTTTGAAGAACACTGAAGAACCACAACGCATTTTTACCTATTAGCGATGGCCTCCAACCTACTAGCGATGGCCTCCAACCTAAGAGCGATGCCCCCCAAAAAGAACTTCACTGTGGCGCTCAAGGCACTTTGTTCTCTTGACATGATCTGTATAGATGGTTTATTCTTGGGAGATTTTCAATCCCAAAGAGTCTGGGTACGCTGGGCTAATACAGGAGGGAGTTCTCACGTGGTTTGTTTGTTGTGAAAACTGGGGGTTGCAGTTGCAGCAATGAAGAATTGGCACTGTGTGGGTTATGTCATTATGCCGAACAATTAGAAGGCCGTGGATGTGCGATCATTTTTGGCAACCCGGGGTAGGATCATTTCACCATACTTTGTCAATTGCCAAGCAGCTGCTAGTTTGAAAACTGTTGATCGCAAAATGGAATCCGCAAAGGGATGAGCCTGCTCTCATCGTCACATGCTTGGCAAATATCCTGATCCTTGATATATCAAAGGAGAAACAAACAAGATGTATCTACTTTCTCCATACAATCCCCTTTTGCCCCACGAAACAAATAACGTACTGTATTCAACAAAACGGCCAAGTACCCTTAGGGTAGTCACGGGTAGTCAGTGGTTGGATGACAATGCAACGTCTTTGCTTGTTGCTTGTGCGGTCGCACAGATTAAAACGCACATGTGTCACACCTGAGAGCAGAGCTATGGAGAAACTACTTTTGAAGGCCCGGCAACGATTAACACGCATTTCTGAGACGTGAAGCACACAAAACACTGTACCAAAAAGTAAAACCCGAGAACCCTGGTCCTAATAACGAATACCAACGTGTCACCATGTAAAACACAACTTGCAATTTTTCACCTGGATGGATTTGGATGCATTTGTTCGCCTGCATCGCCAAGATCCATGCGATCCTTCAAGCAGTGCACACAAATGACATCTTGGGGCTCCAAAAAGCAGTCCGCACCTGGTATCCACGAGAAACTCACCCGCACGCCACTGTCGCTTGGCACTGTCACCTGCGGTCGACGGATGCCGAAGGAAACACCTCTTGGGTGTTGTGCCATCTTTATCTGTTTTGCGGTTGGTCAGATTTGGTCAGATCGGAAGAGGAATTGCTCTTCAGGTTTCTGAGGCCTGTCTATTGCAACCCAAAGCCCTCACCAACAATACCAAGTGGCCAATTGGATGTTGCAAAAGAAACACATAGGTGCCAAACTGCTGCCTTTTCAAACCAGCCATCATGAACTTACCAGCAAAGAAGCTGGCGATGCATGTTCCTGCTTGACTTGTCAAAGGGTAGAAGTTTTCAGGGAGAGACTTGGGTGTTGCCCCACAAAAAGGGTCCGGACTCTGCCCTAACACCAACAATCGGGTTCCCACTTTGCGCAACTCCATGAAGAGAGTCGTTCCGTGGCAGTCTCAGTGTAAAAACCTGCTGCCAAGGTTCAACACCACCAGTGGGCACGGCTTGCTTCCTGTACAGCCAGCGCCCGTTAGCAAACAGTTCTTGTCCACAACTTGGTCGGTTGGTCTGTCTAGAAAAGCAGGAGAGCGGCAAAAATATCCATTTCGAGCAACGAGAACAAGAGCAAGTTTTTTTGAAGGCCATCGCTATTAGGTTGGGGGCCATCGCTATTTGCAACTCATTAAAAGCATATTGTTTTGTTTTTCACCCAACTTGCAATCCGAGTCTCGCCCCTCCCAGCCCTTCCACTACAGTACTGGAGAGTATCTAATCCAAATGACTGAAACGTGCAAGCACTGGGTCAAAACCGGTTTAAGCCACAGTCACGACTCAGAGTGAGTTAGTGTGTTTTGGTGTTTCAAAACGAAGGGCTCCCTGGTCGCTCTCCTTGGCAAGGTCGTGAGCGGACCACTGCTGGCCGACCAGCAGCTGGAAGCCCTGGCAATGGCAGGAATGATCAACATGAGTAAACTTAGCTGAAAAAAGCTACCATTTTGCATTACTTATTTATGTCTATTTTTGTTTGTTTTCTTTGAACACAAAGTTGCAGGAACTGGGCAACGACAAACCGACCAAGCCCCATAACCCGCTGGTTGAAGAGCCAGCACGTTTTGTGGATGCGACCTGCAGGGCTCCCAACAATCCTTCGGCGGTTCAAGTATTGGCCGTCATGTGACTTTCATAATCTCCTTTGATTTGCTTTGATCGCATCTCTTTTTCTTCGCTTTTTATTTCCATTCCTGTTCCTCTTTCCTTCTCTTTCTCCTTTGCCTCTTTCCTTTCCTCCTTGCCCCCATGACTCACAGCACTTCCCATCACTTCACCTCCTCACTACACGCGGAACAGGCCGAAGGCTGCCGAAAGACTAAATTCTCAAAGATTGACACTGTTTGTTGCTTTCCGTCAGGAGTGAAAGTATGATTTGCTGGAAACTATGGATTTGCAAACGCGCAGAAACTATGTATGCAATGTACAGAGAAATCACATGATCAATGATGGATTTCCATCGCTTTCAGCTTTTGCGAAGGAAATGCAGGCCAGTTCTGTAATTGAGAGAAAGTGCAGTTTCCTGATTTGACTTTGGATGTTTTGCAAGAAAACACTATTTTTCTCGACCTCGGTTGCTTCGGTGAGCCACTCGGACCCCAAAGAACAAATCGTTTTACCAAAAACTCGGTCAACGAAAATCGATTGTGCTTTGTTTTGGAAAAAGAAGACTTGGGGAACATCCTGAGTTTCGGCGAGCGGTGAGCGCCGAACACTAGGCCGACCCAACCCAGACCGACTGGTGACTCCGATGCCCGATGAGATTTCACAGTCTTTCTCGTTTTCTCATGTCCCTCAAGCCGTCGCGTGCAATGAAAAAATGGTCACTGACTGGGAGACACATTGGTCGACTTGGATCGTTAACTTGCTGGAGGGTATCCTGGTGTATCTCAAAGGTTGGGAAAAAACCCTTGTACGGTCCTTCCTTACTGTGGGAAGGAGTTGTCCACATAAATAATGTCAATACTGATACAGTGTTGACGAGGAGCATTAGGAACATATCCACAAAACCATGGACTTACTGTGGAAACGAAAGCAAAAGAGGAGTGCCCAAAAAACAAGTCTAAAGGTGTCAAGGTTAAAGGACCGTAAGCTTGTGTGTTTATAACAAAGTGAACAAAAAACAGGAAGGAAAAGGAATGATAGCGGATGAGTGAGTGCATGAATGAGGAGGGAAGGGAGGGAGGAAGGCAGGAAGGAGCAAAAACGTGGGAACAAACATTACACATAATGTGAAATAAGTAAAGAACGAGTCAGGACAGAAGCCTATGAAAATTTGAAAACGTCAGTAGAACATCAAACTTTTCAGTATGTGGACTGCACCGCCGAGTTTCGAAGTCCCACCACATCCCAAGTTCTTGACTCTGACCTCAAAAATTATCAAAAGGCTTAATTCACCGCGGAAAAGAATAACAACAACAAAAAATGTTCTTTTTCAACATCTACCACTTCCTACTTCACATCTAACTATGTCCCATCCCTCCAGCTTCTGCCTGAAGGCACTCAACTTCTTGAAGCAAGCGGCAGTTCCTGGATCGAAAACGCAAGAGCCCGGGCGCGCAAAACGGCGAAAGCGATGTGGCGACAGTGACAAGGTGAGACGAAGTGGAAGGGCCGACCACGGCCAGGGGCCGATTGGTTTGTCGAAATGCAAGACATCAATGTGTACTGCGTATAGTAACTGCTGGATTGAGTTTTACTGATTCTGGGAGGTTCTAAGAACTCCAGAACAGCATCTTTTTCGAACGTCACTCTCAATGTCGCATTCAACTCGGAAACGCTGGGAAACGCTGCATTCCGTAGATTGAGGCCTTGCTCAAGGCCACGTTGGGCCACACTCGCTCAGAACCGTAAATCAGAGTTTGGACTAATGAATAAAACACGATAGAACCGTCTAAAGGTCTAAAGAAACAAACCATCAAGAAAGAAAAGTCTGGATGTCAAAAGACAAATAATATAAAGGACACAAGGTAATCAAAAATGATACAGACATAATACGCATAATATAGAATAATTTTGGAATCCATAATACGAGTAGTAACAAGAAGCTAGTAGTAACAAGTGCCACGCTACTAGTAACAGGTGCCTTACTACTAGTAACAAGAAGCTATTAATTAGAATTCTATTTAAAATTAAATCCAGGATCAAGTGCCACGCTACTAGGAGCAAGTGCATCGCTTCTAGTAACAAGTGCCTTACTAGTAGTAACAAGGACGCTACTAGGGGCTCCTGGCCTTACTACTAGAAGCAAATTTAATACTAATAGCTTTTTGTTACTAGTAGTAAGGCACCTGTTACTACTAGTAAGGCACTTGTTTCTAATAGCGAACCTTGTTACTGGTAGGATCACTATTGGGTTCTCTTCGGATTCCTGACCGAGCCCCTGTCCTCCTTCCGCCACACGACACACATCCGTCTCAGCATCCTGCGAATGGCGGAGCTGGCAGAGTGCCGTAAACAGCAAAGGTAGACATTTTGCTGGGCTGTGTTCTAGATTCCAATCTAGTAACCACTACACTTGACTTGATCTAGTTTTGAGACTTCCAGTTTAATGGCAAACAAAAACTATCACACATGACTTGATCTAGGTTCTTACCTCAACATCACATGTTGAGGTGTTTAAACATGTTGAAACCTTCTTAACCGACGGGCTGCAAACACCCCCTGTCTCTGCAAGCAGTGGCTACTGGTAGGACTCAAATCGACTGGAAACACAAGACACAAACAGAATCCAAAGCTAAAGCCAGGTCACTTGTCGGATTCCACGCTACTTGATGCTTCTGCCGCATGGAACGATGTACATAAAGGAGGCGTCACCCCAAATCCCCACGCCGTTCACCCAACAGTGTGGTGACTCTTAATTTTGACACTGGGTATGAAAGAAGTGAATCACAGGAATTTCAGAGAATTTCTATGCAGCACAGCCAGTTAAAGCGAAAAGCCATGGTAACTCTCTTTAAACGAAACACAGTCCTGGACGAGTAAAGATCACCCAGTCCCGACAGGTAAAATTTCTGTCCCCACCCTCAACTGGAGAGTACCGACGGACGTTCCGTGTATTCCTCGTGTTGAAACAAGTTGGGCGGAGCCAATGTGAGCAGTGCCAAAAGTGAGTCAAGCCAATGGGGTGACAATGCGACCTTCTCATACTGGGCAATTATGGGGGATAACCTGCATGACACCAACAAGGATCAAACAGGAAGAGATCATCCTGAAGCAACTGGCTGGAAAATGCTGGAAGGTAGCAACCGTCTAAGTAGGTGAGGGCTTCGGTGTTGGTGCAATGCTCCGGATGAACGTGATCCGGATGAAGGGTCCCTGTCGGAAGAGACTGTGGGACTGTGCTTGGACTGTAGTTTTCTCCGTGGTACATACGAAAGACATCAAAAGACTAATCCTGCACAAGAGCGGTGAACCTCCTGAGGTTGCGGCGTCTATAGTGATGGTCTATGTTTACTTTTGATATCTTCTTATCATGTGCTTTGTTCAGTTTCTTTCCGTTCCCTTTATGCTTTTCTTCAGACCTGACCTTTTAAAGCCTCATGTGGACCATACCACCCCAGCTCAGAACGCTTCGAACATTTGTGCGGAAGTGTCCTCCGGCTGGCAAGCGACCCGCTGGGAGCTTGGAGTGTTGGTACACTCGTCGCAAAGCACCAAGACACGGGCGATGTAGGCGGTACTGGACTGGAGGCCTGAAACCGGGAAGATGTGAAAGACCTACTCGGAACAAGGACGCTACGAACGGGGCTCCTGGCATCGCCACCTAGGAGCCAAGGATGCTACTAGGGCCTCCTGGCCTTACTACTAGGAGCATTCTTGCTACTAGGAGCAAAGGGCATCGCTACTAGGAGCAAACTGGGAAGATGTGAAAGACCTAGAAACGACCGCAACTGAAGAGACATGAATCTTCCGCCCCTTCACAGCTTATTCGCAGCGTTTGGAGGTGCATCCGGTGAAGACTATGCGATATGTACATCAGCCCAGCAACCTTTGTTTGCTTTGCTCCAAAACCAGCTTGCCAAATCAACAATTGGGCAAAGTAGTCAAGTAGTAGTCTTGGTAAAGATGTGTGTTCTTGAAGGGATTCTAAATGTTGCCGGGCAAACACAAAACAATCTGACAAAGTGCGGCGTTTTTGCCACTCACTCGCCATGCCACTCACTCAGTGTCTAGTGTGTCCTGTGTGTTCCTGTGCCTGCCATGCTTCGCCATGTTTTCTTCACCTTGAGGCCTCCTGAGACGTCCGCGCTTTCTTTGCCCAGTAGGCCTCGCTGTGAACAATCCGCCGCTTGGGTGCACTGACCACGGCGCTGAGAGGCGCGGTTTTCTCACCGTCCTCGGCGTTCGCAGGACGACAGAAGGGCGACCGCGTTAGCACTGCTATTTGGGCCCCTTGAAAAGGCCCAACGTTGGGTCCGATCAAACAAGTTCGCTCAGTTCTCAGTTCAAGATGTGACTCTCTCCAAACGTGAAGACCATGCCTATATAGAATGACTCTTTCTCTACAAATGGGACCAGTTCTGCCCTGTTTCACTTCCGTGTTTGAGACAAGATGCGCAAGATGCCCTACGTGTCAGCTCATCGGGCACATCGGCTTCATCAGACACGAAGAGTTGGACACTTTCGTTCCCACCCTGCGAGGAGATGGTGCGCCATCCTTCTCTGGGCACCTCCCAAGAGACGCTGGGATTGAAGGCCCAGGCAGGATGCTCAAAGCGCATGTTGGGCCCGAACCACCAGCCGCTCCAGTGCTCACCATCACGAGCATCCCAGAAAAATAACATCACCTGAGGCGTCCCAGGAAAAGAGATTTTCTTGTAAACAGGCCGGCCATGATTCCTCTTTGAGACTTTTTCATACGAGCCGGCAAGAATGGAAGGAACGAAGCCCTTGGAACCTGGAAACACATGCACCATCTTTCCTGGCTTCCCTCTATTTCCTTTCGCTTTATTTCTCACGTGATAGCGGGTGGGTCTTCCAAAGCGCTTTGCCACGTGCCCGGCCAGTCGTCGTCCAAACTCTCGGTAGCCTTCTCGCTTCAAGTGAAAGGAATTCTTCCAAAGCTCCGAAGGAAAGTTGGCAAAGAGCCCATCACAATCAATGACTCCATCTTCCTTCAGTAGCTTCCGGTTCACCGCTTGACGCCTCTGTTCCAACCAAGGACATTCTCTCTTCTCCCGGGTACCCAAGAAGAGGGAACACATCATGACTTCCAGGCCACGGCTGCATAAAAGGCGCTTCAGCTCACGGAGGTGCCAAAGGATGTGCTCTGCCGAGTGATAGTAGAGATCATTGCTACCGACCACCACCACGACCAAGTCCAAATCTTCCGATGCTGTGAGTCCAAGTTGCTCCAAGTCCTGACAAGTCGCTAGCGACAACTTGGACAAGTAATGACAGTCCCAAAGACTGTTCTCCAGTACTCACAGGAGGCAGTGGGGGTAGAAGTACCATTCAACAGACTACAACAAGCCAAAACCAAAGCGTTTTGAGCACATCTGAGGTGATCATAAAGCGTTGGGATGCTTGCATGTTCACACTGCGCGGCAATATCACCTTTGATAGAATAGCACGACATTGACAAGTTCGCGATGTCCCGGATGCGACACAAAGAGCCTGAATAGGTCATGACACAAAAGGATTAAATCAAAGTAAATTAGACAAGAACTAAACTCACTGTTTAAAACACAATTAAACTGGAACTAAATTGAATTCGCGTCTAATCGAGTGCTGTTTCTTAAATTGTTCAAGGACCATTGGAAGGCTTTGCTCAGGGGGGCTTGACTCACCAAGGCTGCTGCGATCATCTGCATAAGAGACTCCGGCAAAGACATAAAATTCGGTTGATATTTAGCACTGTGCTGGTTGGCTGATGAACCCACCGGAACAACACTGAAACATGTCAATGTACGTCAGGCATCGCTTCCCAGGCCAAGGCACAAAGATTCAAGATCCGCTGTGCTGTGCCCCCAGGGAATCCTGCACCCACAGTGCGAATCTTCACACGCCCTAGCTGCCCTAGCTTCCCGAGACACACCGAGCGCTCTCAGATGAAAAGCATCTTCGACCATTCCATAACGCACCACGCCGAGCCCTACCGAGCCTGCGGGGACCAGCTCAACCTCCCCCAGCGAAGTGACCAATTGCTGCTTCAGCGCCTCGGCACTTGGTGAGAAGGCCTCGGTGGCTTGAAGCGACGTGCCATGGCTCGGTTTGGGACTGCTTTGGCTCGGTTCAATCCGAAACTCCCTTCAGCTCCCCGCCTTCCGTTCGCCCCGACAGCAACGGCTGTCGGTGACCCACGAGTCGCCCAGGACCTTGGAGAAGGTGGCATCGACAAGCGGCACGCGGTCATTTGGTCGCTTCAGCTGTCTTTGACCTATTTTTGTTCGTCGTTAAATCATGTTAAATCCGACGAAACACAATTGTGAAACAACGTCGAAGAATATCAAACAACAGCACACGTGGCACACATGGCCTCTGATTCTTTTCCTTTTTTTGCGTGGCTTGGCGGGCTCTGGACAGTTTCTATGTCACGAGTCGCCCCAGTGGCCCCCAGCGCAATCGTAATCGAAATACAAGTCGATCGATGAGAATTCGATGGCGCCATGAAAATCCTATTTTCCTCAAAGAACCAAATCTTTGGATTCTGCATGATTCTGCCTTCACATGCCCTCGCCGGCAAAGGAGGTGTTGAACATTTTGCATGACCAATCTATTGTGGCCCGGTGTTGCCCTCACAACCTTGCTATGGGCGTGCCCGGCCACCCACATGACGAGACATCGTTTTTGTGGCAAAGCTTGGTGGGATCCGGGCAGAGTGAAAAATGCCCTGGTAAGACGCGCCAGGAGATTCATCTGAGACAAGGGGCCGCCAAACGAAACGGTCGATCCTTCATGTAAGGAATCGCCATGCCGTCGACAGCCAAAAGTGCTGGGAAGATATGTCAGAGAGACTGCAGTTGTTTTTTGCTGGCCGGGCTCTTTGGGGCAACTTACAACTGGGTTTTCATGGCCTAGTTGAGCTGCCGCTGTCTTTGTCATGATGGAATGATGATCAATGTCACTTGCACAACCTGTCACAGTCCCCTACGCAAAGACCTCAAAAGAAGCTGCCGTGCAAACGGGCTGCGGAATATTGCAGCATACAGGATCTGTCTGTTCCCGTGCTTCAAGAATCCAGGAAACGAACCATCTCGGCTGAACGAACAAAGTAACCTGTCGACCTATCCCACTTTTCATTGAACATATTTATTTAACATCTATCGTCTATCATCAATCTATCGAATCCTTGCACTCGCTCAAGGGCCAAAGAACGATTTCCAGGCTAGAATAGGTTCACGTAGATTGTAGGATTTCCGGAAACAAATTCATCCGGTCCTTTCTTGGCAGGTCCTGTCTCCCGACGGACTCGTCAACCCGTGCCTCTGGCACTACAGCTGCTGCTGGTAGGATCAGAGATGTAGCGGCAACCCTCAGGCTCAAACCAATCCTTGGTGAACCAACGGAGCCAGACTGGCACCCCATGCCACACCGCACTGACTTTGTTTGAACATGTTTGAACTAGGTTCCAAGGGTTCATAAACTGTTATAAAACACCAAAACGGCGGCATCTCAAACCTCGGGAACCTCCACCAACTGGGCGTATGATCTGCATGAACCCCGTTGAGTCATAACGTAAATAGGGCAGCCCCTAGTAGCTTAAACCTTCTCAAACAGTGGGTGCACTAACCCCTCCCCCCAATTATATAGTTTGGTCCACCTTTCCCTCATCCCGTAGCGGTCTCCAGCTTGACTATGCTCGACACGTCCAAGACACCTCGACTGCACTTGACACCTCGACCTTGGTCCGGGTGAAAATACAATCCTGGCGGACACGGTTTCAGGGGGCCGAAGAAGGTTCGCAGAAAGACAGGATTTCACTGGGTAGCCACGGGTATCCCAACCATGACACATGTGATAACAGTAGTAATATTTAGGATTCCGATAGTTGCAGTAGGCAGATTTCACGATTCGAGAACTGAGATCGACCAAAGTCTGTTTGATGGTTTTGGGATGGTAAGAAAGACCAAGGGCAATTCATCACCACACGACGCGTGTACCAACTCCTCCCGATAGAATCTCCCTTCAAGATCCGAGAAGTATTCCCATGAAGGACAAAAAGCATCGTCCAGAAACGGAACCGCAAGAAGGGTGGAGGCCATTGCTACTAGGCCATTGCTGTTCACTGGAAACTCCTCTCTCTCCGACTGAAGAGTCCTCGAGTGCAGCGTTGCTCCAGGCTATGCGCGCGCCACTCACCGTGGCCTCGGAGAGCTGGACGGCCACTGGGGCCGCTGCGCGGCGCCTGCAAGGCGAGCAACGCGGAGCAAAGCAAAGCAAAGCTCTGATCGCTGATCAAGGACTTTTGGCAGTTTTGGCTCAACTCTGCGACAAACACATTGGGCCAGGGGTATCCCCAGTTGCTTTGATGCACTGAAACCCAATAAGAAAAAAACAAGGAGGTTGTATCTTAACCCATTAACTATATATCATAATTCAATGGGCCAGGGGCCAGGGGTCTTGTGAGCACTACCTATTCATTTTTGACCAATTGTTGTATGTTTACTTTGGAAGATTAGCTGAATCTGTGCTATTTTGGTCTGAGCGTAACATACAAACATGCGGAATGGACTGACAAAACATTGTACGTAGTGTGTTGACTATGGACCTGCCACATGGCGGAACATGGGGGAACCCTCGCTGCTGTAGGGTTCTGCTTTGGTCGGTAGGGATCCTGACACCTGTTTGCAAGGAGTGAACAGGTTGGGGAACGTGGTCTTTGTCCAAACCACAACTTGATCTATGGCGCTATTAGGTTGGAGGCCATTGTAGTAGGTTGAAGGCCATCGCTACTACGTTGGTGGGCTTGAGACTGTCACATGCAAAAAACTGTTTACGGCTGTTGCCGCGGGCATTGGGTAGGTCTCGGATAAAATGCAGAACTGTGCCCCGAACAGGTTCCGACGTGAACACCAGTCTGTGATAGTCTGTGTGTGGTTTGAAGATGGGGGAAACTGTTTCAACCAGGAAGATTTGGCAAGGCTCCCAAACGCAAAAGAATGAACGAAAGAAAGGATATTAAGGCTTTTGAAAAGGTGTGGGACAGTCAATTATCACACCGCTTTCCGGTGTGAAAACTGACCGCCCACGCGGCCCAGGATTCGGTAACGGGCCGGTAACGGGTGTTCCTTTTTTTGAATTGCAAGAAGTGCAACTTTTGTCGCCGGTAGCAATGGCCTCCGATACAAAAAGACACAGGACCTGTCACCAAGAACGATCGTTGCTTGTCGCTTCGATTTGCCCGGGCGCATCGCCAGGAGCCCCTAGTAGCTTTATTGTTAGTAGCGAGGCCCTTTGCTCCTAGTAGTCCGATCGACTCCGCTCGGCTACTCCGCTCCGCCTCGGAACCCACACAGGCAGACTGGTGGCCGAGAGAGGCGAGCTGGTCGCAGGCCTCGGAGGTGTGTGAGGTCGCCAGTCGAGGCCGCCGGGACCATAGGGAGCCCAGGGAAATCCGGGAAAAAAATAAACATATTATATGTATATATATATATTATCTATTATATATTTATACCCTTTTTTCTACGCAAGTTTTCGCATTTGCGCACTTTCGCAAGTCCTTGTGACATGTGGTTTTCTCTGGTGTATTTCTCGTGCAATTTCTGGTGCATTTTCTTGTGCACAGCCTCGTGCCTTGTTTAAAAGCACATGCGGGTGTTTGTGCCGATCGGTTGAATCACATATGCAAAACCAATTTAAAAAGTGCACTCTTCGGCACTCTCTCGGGCATTTTTTCGTGCCCTTTCTTTTTCCTGCAATTTCTTGTGCAATCCACAATCTGTCCAATCCGCATTGCACCGAGCATGATACCAGGAGCAACACCAAAAAGTCATGAGATATGCTACAGTAAGAATGAGGAGGACGACAATGAGATGTGTCAAAGATACATTTGTGGTGCTTTTCATGTGACGGCGGAAGCCCAAGTGGCAGGAGTTCAGCATGAGCCCAAGTTTGCACAGCAAAAGAGGGCAAGTATGCAAACGGCATCCAAAAGCCAAAACACATATAGTTCTAGCAACAAACAATCGAAGGACTCAAGCTTTTTCCATCTGTCAGGTGAGGGTCTCTAGATCCAAGTCAGCGTTCTTCTCCTTCTTCTCCTTCTCCGTCCTCCTCCTCCACCCTACTTCCTGCTTGCTCTGCCTCTTCTTCATCGCATCTGCCACCCTAGCTGGACTTCACAGGCTTCTCAAGCGTCTTTGTCGTGCTAGACTTCAGGGGCCTCCAAACAAAAGATCGAAAACATGTCAGAACAAATGCCAAATTGCATGTCAGAACACATCTCACACCCCGTGTCAAAACATATGTCAGACCAAATGCAAGATCTGATGTCAGAATACATGTCAGAACACATGTTAGGGTCATGTCAGAACATATGTTAGAACATGTTAGAACGTGTCGGACCACATCTTCGAACACACGCCAAAGTTAATGCCAGAACAAGTGCCAGGCCATTGTGCCAGGTGGAAGAAGGACCAGGGAAACGGCTCGGGAGTCAGGCGCTGCCAAGTGCCGACAACTTGAGTTAGTTTGTGTGCACGCGGCTGGGACGAACTTGGAGATGAAGAGATTAAGAAGGCTTGCCTGTGGTTCGACAGTGAGTCAGGATAGTCTGTTGCATATGTCCTTTCTGATTCCAAACCACTTTTCATCACTTTTCGGTGTGGTGATCACTCGAAGGACTGTAATTTCTTTCAATGATTCCGATTCTGTTTTGCCTTCTGGTTCGCTAAGGTGCTTGACTCGACAACCTGGTTAAAGTCGACTTCTTGCGCCTACATACTCACAACTGGCCACAGTGTCACTTCAATTCGGCTGCCCGACACCATGGAGATTTCTTGCACCGCAAAGCTGTAGAGGCCGAAGGCCAAATCTGCGAAGCGGTTGGGAAATTGAGCCACACAACACAAGCTGAAGACCTCAAAAAAAGGCCTGAAAAGGACCTGCACCTGACACCTCGCCAACAAATCTTGAGAAGAAAACTGAAAAAGCAATTGGCCAATCCTCTTGATCCTCTTGATGCTGGACCTGGTATTTGGGGAACTCAACCACGACTGGTAAAGCCACTCGAGGACACTTACACTTTGCAGTCTTTCAAAACACGAGTTCCTGGATTCAATATTCTTGTTCTTTGAACTGGAGGTCGTCCATCGGTGGTCAGTTACCATCCCCAGCTTTCCTAGGTCTGGGCCTTTCTTGTCTCGCCGCGCCCTTTTTTCCCAGTGGGAAAATCCCCACCTTGGCACTTGTTAATAACATCTAATAACCAAAGAAGAGATGCGATACATTATACCAAAAACAGTCACATGATTTCACATCGTGCCTTACATTTCTCAGCTTTCCGTGCTCAACACATGAAGCTGCCAGCATCCCCCATCGACCCACGTGGACCCGTCGAGAATCACGTTTCCGACGTTTAACGGATCTCAACATTAACGGATCACGTGTGGTCCAGGATGGGCGGATGATGGCGGATGGGCTAATTTGAAGAAAAGTTGAGAAAAGGACATGAAGTGATGGCCTCCCCTAATAGTGATGGCCTCCAACCTAAACTTGGGAAGCTTTTCAAGTCAGTCAACCTCGCCAAACACGGCCCCTGAAAGCTTCCTCGCCTGGAACGAAGCATCTCGTGTTGGCACGGTCCAGTAAACCTGCCACGGTCCAGCTGATCTCAAACAATTGCCAGAAGTTAAGAAGGCTTTCGTTAACGTTCGTTAAACTATCCCAACATCCAAAGTGATTTTGATACCATACTCCGACCACTGGTTTGTGTCACAACGCTGGTCAAACATAGCAATCCCAGAAGCCAAAGCACCAAGAATGGATAGAGCGAAAAAACCGTCAGACATTGCGAGGCAGTAAGCTGCAATGCCACGGACTCCTTTTCTCTTGTGATTAACGAGCTGCATAGACAACCTACCTCATATCAATACCTCATATCAATCCTGACCGGTGTGAGTGTGACAATTGGCTGATCCCCGGTTTTCGTTGACCTGAAACCATCAACTTCTGGGGTGGAAAAATGCACAGTGATGAAATCCATTTCGTGGCGGTCCCAATCGCCTTTGCAAACATCAGGGATCTGCACATCTTGGCTGCGATCGATTTGCCCAGCCACCTGGGCCCAAGAATAGGTGAGCTTCGAACATGGCCTACATTTTATAAATGTGTTTTGTATAATCCCGGATTGCTTTCGCAAAGGCTTTCGCGGCCTGCATTTGGCTTTCGCGGAAGGTGTGGTGTTATGTGAGGCTTTCGCGCGTTTTCTTTCGCGGCTATTTGTTTTCGATTGGACAATTCGATTGGGATATATTGGGATATAAGTTTGACTTTCGCGAAAACTTTTGCAACAGTCGTTCTATAATTAGGGGGCTTTTGCGGGCCTTTGGCAAACCTTTCGGGACCTGCGGTTTTTTTGCTTTCGCGAAAGCATGTGAGTTTACACTTTGTGCAGTTTTCATCAAATTTTTGAAGTTGCTCAGATGGATCGCGTCAAGATCTCATAGGTCCTCGAAAACTGCTTCTTCGCCATCTGGGCCATCTGCTTGGGCCATCTGGGCCGCCCAGCAATGGTCAACTTGTAAAGCTCCACGTGCCACACCAAGAACTGCGAATCCTGCAGTGGTCGTGTGCAAAACTGCTCCCCAAACAGGGCAGCTGCAGGCACCTCAAAATGGGGTGAGTTTGTTTTTAATCACAAAGGCCAAATGCTGGACATGTGAATCCCCTTCGAACAGTTTGGGTCCTCCTTCCTGTTGATGACATACCTGAAAATGTCTTAGCTGCTTTCACGGCGACATCGCAGATTTTCTACGGTCGACAGGCGATGCTGATGGAAGGCCCCTGAGAATCCAAAGACCACATCCATCTCCTACCATAATTAAACACCGTTTTGACGGTTCCTGGTGGCGACAGGATTCCTGTCCAAACGTGATCAGTGTAGGAGAAGCTGACTGTGCTGCAATAAAAAGTGTGACCTTCCAAAACCTTTCGGTCCGCCACAACGCACATTGATGAGACCTATTGACTTGAGAGAGGAGGGGGTGAACGAAAGGTAGCAGGCAATCACAAGTAACCCTGGTAGAAGTCCATGACGGCGTGAGCCGGCGTAGGGGGGATTTGATCCAGGCGGGGGGGGGGCCCCCGTATGTTCAACGCTTAGGGGCCATGCAGCAGGCGCACTTATATAACTAGTGTAAGCGAAGATAACAACGTAGCCGCTAAATGGACGCAATGACACCGCTACGCTGAGCCCGCTGAGCCCGTCGAGCCCGCTGAGCCCGCTGAGCCCGTCGAGCCCGCTGAGCCCGCTCAGCCCGTCGACCCCGTCGAGCACGCTAAGCCCGCTGAGCCCCGCTCAGCCCGTCGACCCCGTCGAGCATGCTAAGCCCGCTGAGCCCGCTGAGCTTACGTTTCACAAACATGAGATTCAAGTGTGCACAGCATTATAATAAAATACAGCCCGCTATATCGACGCCAAGCGTTCAAGGCACGGCCCCCCCCCCCGACGAACAGAATCATCTCTTACAGGACCAAACTCAATGCACAATCCCAACTCCTGATTGTAATACATTTTTGCGCTACCTTTCGTGATTATTTGGATGATCCTCTCATCTTGATTGAGCGGGGTAGACCACGAGGCATTGCATTGGAAGTTCTAAGCTATGTATACTCGCCAGTTGGAGTCAGTGGAATGGTTGGCACTGTTTGCATGCTGAACCCAAAAGCCCCAGTAGACAGGAACACAAAGTGTCGAAGTAGCTTGAATATGAAGTCTCTCTCTCTCTATATATAGCCAACATGATAATTATGTAATTATATCTATTTATAGTTATTGCACTTTATTACATTATATTCCTAAGATTTCCTAAACATGTTCTCCCTCTTCTGAGACATGCCCACAGAACTGCGATCCGAACGCGTAAATCGTCCCTGCCTCTTGCTGACCTGGCAACCAAACCAGCTGAAGCCTCGCTCAGCCAGCCGCTCGTGACAAGGAAGTAGTGACAAGTACGTAATCCAACATCTGCGAATGTTGTTACCTGCGGTCTTGCTTGATCTTGTTTCTCTGAAACTCTTTTGAAGCAAGTCCCAACAAAATCGAAACAAAGAACTGATGAGTCACAGTAAAGTGACAGTTGAGAGGGCTGCAAAGTGGCAAGCTCTGCAGGTCGCAAGCAGCAAAGCCCAGGTGAGCACAAGTCTGTTCATCTTCTGGGTGACCCAAACGTCACTTTTGAGCTTCCGGGCACATAAGCCTGAGCTTGGCAGTTGACATCTGTGGAGAGACGTCGGCCTCCATCTGACCTGAAACGAAACTGAGAATGGAAGACATTCACTTGAGGTGGCTCAGCTGCAGTCCAATCTAAGTCAAAACATTCCAAAGTCTGATTCTCTGATGTCTTGACTGAACTTCGTCCCTCGTGTCAAAGGCAACCACGTCTTTCTGGGTTCATCCGTCGATTGCTCGTTCCGAGGCCGCCACGATTGAACATTGGCCTGCAAATCCTCAACGGCGCGACTGGGAACGGGTAGCTGTAGACACTGTAGATGTTGTGCGTCGTTGGGCAAAACCGAACCCGATCATGATACAAACGGTGCCCGAGCCAACAAGAGAACAAACGGTACCTTGCCATGTCTCACATGCCATATGTTCACTTTTTGGATGATTTTGGATGTTTGGTTTCAACCGAGTGTGCCGTGAACTAATTGTTTCTGAGAAAATCTTCCGGGTGGGCCGAGACCGGTCATCTCCCCGAGAGTCCGGGCCAAGCCCTGTGGCTGTTGTGCTGGATCAGCGCAATCGCCACCCACCTCAAACGCAATTGACCGGGCCCGCTGCAGTGAACACACCAGTCAAAAAACAGGACGAACCTGGTCAGACCGGTCGCTTTTCAATTTCAGCCAGCTTGAAGACTGTTTGGAGGATAAACAGCATCATAAAGCAGGTGAGGCGGCTTAGCCATCCGTAGCCATCCTGTTGCCCACTTGCCTGAGTTCATTTAGCCATTTCCCCATTCAGCATTAAGTCATAGAGCCAATCCTCCCATTGTCCCGGACGGATGACCAATACCAGCGATCCTGTCGAGCCACCAAGGTATTGGCTGTGATTGGCCGACTCCAATCCGAGGTTGATTCCTCATCGTCACACTGCTGCTTCACCTGGAGAGGTGCGAGTGGCTTCTCCCCGAGGATGTGGCTCGGATGCGGCGAGACCAAGCACACTCCTTTCGTTTGGTGGCAAACCCTGGCTTGCAAAGGGAAGCTTCTTTCAGGCCACGCGTGGCCATCCATGGTCACGCCATCCACTTCCACGTTAGTGAATCAAAGCGCAACTGTTCCTGTTGGCGTGGGACTGGACTGGTAAAATTGCTGAGGGCTCATATAATTACATATAATTACGAATTAATGTACATTTTTCAACCGAACAATCGGCCATTGTCACGTCCCTTGTGCTTGGTGCTAAAGGGCTAAAGGTATGTAAATAGCAGCATTCTGGTGTCCACCCGGAGATGTTCTTAATCTAGCTCTGCCTGGCATTGAAGCGTCAAGCTTCCTCTAAGCTTTGGCTTCAGAGCTTCAGGCATGTAACGGCAGATGTGCAAATTTTGCAAAACCAATCCCCTGATGATCCTTGAGATGGTTGAGCTGCGTGCATGCGGGTGTGGCAGTTGTCTGGCTGCTACAATAAAATATTTAACCGACACCAACAACGAACCGCACAAATGTGCAATTTTGGTTCTTGGGCCCACCCATGCATGTTGCCGGCAGATTACTTCGGAGCCCATGGGACCTGGATAATGTAGCCGGTATCGCAGGGCAAGTTCGCCAGTGTGCCTGGAGACCGCCATGGAACACGGAAGTGTAACCAGTCTGGTCCGTTGGCATATAGTTGTTTCAGAGCAACAGTTTACACCAACACCCGTTTTTAAAGAATCATGGCAAACGCTCGATTCAGCTGTGCTATTGTAGCCCGACAAAACACATCACTTGGTTAGGAGGCCATCGCTATTAGGATGGAGGCCATCGCTGTTGGGTTCCTTAAAGTCTGTCATAAGTCCAGCCCAAGCGGCATCTGGTCACTTGGAAGTTGGAGAGTCCGGCACAGGATGGGGGATCCTGCAGGATGTTTGTGACATGCAATAAGCTAGGGACCCCTAGTAGCGTCCTTGCTCCTAGTAGCGATGCCAGGAGCCCCTAGTAGCTTCTTGTTCCTAGTAGTACGGCCAGGAGCGGCAGCTCATGTAAAGTCTCCTTTTTTAGCGTTTTATTTCTGATCATTTCAGTTCTGCGGGGTTTGTCAGAACCTCTGTGTTTGCAGGTCTCCAGCTTGGAGACGACGTGGATCGGTGGACAAACATTTGGAGGGCTATCAGCCCGAATGGCAGGATCTGAAGCCAAAAGCAAACTCTGATTTAAGAAAAAGAACATCATGGAAGATCGAGAAACAATGCCCTACCGTTGGTGGTCTCGGTCAAGAACTTCAGCCACGAACCGCGACGGCTCCGCGAGAACCGCTCCACCAGCCAACCGCCAGCTGGATCTTTGATCTCCACTCGCCAGGAACGGAAGGTACAGTTTCCCTCAGCGCCGAAATCTGAAGGAACAAAGAGACGTCCGAAGGTCCAAACAAGGGGAACAAAAAGAACCTGATGTAAAACGGAGCTTGAAAGTTATTTTGCCCGCTACTTTCTATCAACGAAAGAAACCAATCAAATCACAAGTTGTGACATTTGTGCAACGCATATGTGTAAATGAGTTCAAGTCTTAAGATATATCGGTTCTTGCCTCCCAAATTAACTCTGAAAGTAAGACCTGTGTGTTTTCCATTGTTTTCCCTAGCAGCTGCGCCAAGCAAAAGAGGAAAAGAAGAAACCGACTGGACCCAAAGTCACACGAGTCTGGCGCTTACATGCGCTTGCCGAGTCTGACGCCTCAGTAAATACTGCTTCTAAAATCCTGGACTTCTTTGAGTTGGCTGGCCCAAACGCACACGTGCGACGGGCACAGCTGAACAAAGGTACATGAAAATGGTTGGCTTTGTAAGACCATTCTCATGCTTCTTCAATGCTCAATGGCCTAGGAGACTTGGTTGGGTGGTCTCACCACACACCGACAAACCCAAGGACTACTTTCAACACTATAGGAAGAAAATGGAAGAAATAAACACTGGGTTCTCTGAGCAAGTCTCACTCGGCCGCGATCTCTCTGTACCTGTCCCTGCCTGCTCGGCCGCAGCGGCCCAGGAAATGATCAAAGCGTGGGATTGCGGTTCCACCACTTGCAAATCCTCTCGGTCTGTCTCAGGTCTCGAGATGTCTCGAGGGTTTCACGGTTTCACATGGAGGTGCCAAGCATTTCCCAAGACGAGGAATGAGCTTGACAACCGATTTCCAAACTGGATGATGATTGGGAGAGTTCTTCTTGGTGCAGGGATAGGAATGTTGAATGCGGCGTCTCTAAGCACCATGCAGATTGGCGGACGCCTTGGATTGAAACGCCCTTTTCAATCAGTCTCATATCGAACATCTACATCTGGGACAATCCTGGCTACCCAAATGCTCAAGAGAATCTGCACAAACTCCCAACCTCTCTTTTGTGAAGGTTTCCGTGGCCAGTGATATCTCAGAGATCCCCAATATACTGATAAATTTCCCTCAAATTCTACTCCCAACAGGCTTCAAGGTTTTCGTGCATTGGACTGTTTAGCATTTCAAACGCATCGTAAGATGGATCCCCAAACAAGCAGTTCGGTTCTGAAACCTGATCCTTCCGAGGATCGCTCAACCGGAAGTCTTCACACTTTGTGCCTTTCGGATGTCCTCGGGTGGGTCTGCCCGTGCCGGCGGCACGATGGCCACATCCAGGAGTTGCCACCTGGGAAGGTCTCGAGCCAATTGCTCTCGAGTTCGGAAGAAGCTCCTGTAGAGTCCATTGCTCCGTTCGTAGCGATGCCAGGAGCCTAGTAGCTTCTTGTTCGTAGTTCTAAAACCTCAAAACCCAGTTCCTCCGGATCTCTTCTCCTTCATTGAGTGTTTTGGTGGGTTTTTGTCTCTTCATGTCTCCTTTCTGTGAAGGTGACGGTCACCCTTTTGTACATGCAAAATTCATCAAGGCGCTGTGGTTTTCCGATTCTGGGATCACAGCAGACGTTGGTAAGGGATGCCTTTTGAGGTGCCCAAATGTGCCAAGGGATGGATCATAAAGACCCGTGGGGTCGTTCTGGTTAAATTTGATGTTGATGGTCCATTTGGCTAAGACCCGATGTTAAGCCCGAAAAGGAAAAAGGGTTCAGACGTTTGATCAACCAACCTGTCACCTCCTCCGAACTCTCAAAACCCCGTCTTAGCTGCGTGGGAGAAAAAGGGCCATCGATGTAATCGATGTATGCCAAAATACGTAAAGATACCACATGATAAGACACATGATACCACAGGCGACCACAGGAACTTAGGTGGTTCGATGCATAGATTGAACGAAAACCTGATGCCTCGGTTAAGATTCCAGGTTGAATGAGTTGACGCTTGAAACTGCGCGTTTGACTGGGCAGTCGAGAACAAACCATTTCAAAAGAAGTCCCATGATGACTACAGCAAAGGCAACGAACTGATAGATTGCCGGGATAACTGCACAGTACACATTGGTGTTTGGGCAGACAGAAGTAAGTTGGTCCATCAGGTTGATACCAAGCACGTGCTGTATGCTTTGCACAGAATTATATGTAATGGTGTTGGTGTTGTTGTGGTTGTGGTTGTGTGCGTGAGTGTGTTTCCTCCAAGAAGGCTTTTGAAGGTGATTGAGGCATGGTCATGGATGGCTATGTTTGCAGAAGTTACAAAGGGATGAATTCAAACTTCCACAGATTTGAATCTGAATCTAAACACTGCCCAACTCAGCGAATGGCTAGTTTTGTATCTCACTTGATACATGCTTTTCCTATTTATTCTTACCATGATCCTATTAGGTTGGAGGCCAGCGCTCTTATTAGAAAAACCATTGGGCGAAGACGTCGTTGCAGAGCGAGTCGCCCCATTCAAGTGAGGGGATGGCTGCCGCTACATTCAAAGCAATGACCAATCTTTGCACGAATGAGCAGATCATGGGTTTTCAATGGGACATGAGGACACCCAGAATAAAGGCGCCGTCAGGTCTGTCAGTCCACTGTGGGTCTGTCATGGTCCGTCGAGAGGCTCGGCGACACTCACGGTGGGTATCGTGGCGACCAATTCCACTCCTCAGAGCATGACCGAGGTCGATGGCCTTTTCTTCATCTCTTCCTTTTACAGTAATGTTTTTAATAGATGGCCTCCAACCTAAGAGCAAACTATCTTAGACCTTTCTTCCTTTTCCACTCCTCAGAGCATCAATAAATTGGATGCATTTTGACACGACCCCAAAGCGAAGAGCCGCGTTTCGAGCCAAATGAACACATAGCTCAAAGCATTGTTTGAAGCTCTTGTTTATTCCCGAGAGCGTCTGCGAAGGGTTCTTCGTAAAAAACATCTGCAGAACTACGTCTCATCTACATCTTCACATCTTCACCTCTGTACATCCACATTCTCCCCTGTATCTCTGCTCATCTTCACATCCTCACATCTACATCTCACATCTTTAGCTCTCATCTATATCTCACATCTTCACCTCTCGCTCTTCATCTCTGCTCATCTTCACATCCTCACATCTACATCTCACATCTTTACCTCTCATCTACATCTCACATCTTCTCTTCTTAACTTTCTCTCTTAAGGCCGGGGGCAGTAACGCCGGAGCACCACGAAACGCAACCCTCTGCGGAGATCGTGCGTGTCGAGCGCACGAAATGCAGGCGAGAGTGCGATTTGTCCCGGTCGCGGGCAAGCCTCTGCGGAGATCGTGCGAGTCGAGTGCGCGAAATGCAGGCGAGAGTGCGATTTGGTTTTGTCGCGGGCAACCCTCTGCGCAGATCGTGCGTGTCGAGTGCGCGAAATGCAGGCGAGAGTGCGATTTGGTTTTGTCGCGGGCACCCCTCTGCGGAGATCGTGCGTGTCGAGGGCGCGAAATGCAGGCGAGA